GACCATATACTCCATCACCTGCCATTAGTCCAAAGGGTCGGGGACGTACGTACCCTATTACCAGCAGATATCCAAGCCAAGGGGTCAGAGGACGTACGTAGCCCGTAGCTAGCCAATACCAAAGGGCCAGGAGACGTACGTGCTCCACTGTTAGCAGGCAACCAGGCCCAAGGGTCCTGCGGGTTTCACAAGGACGAATGTCCCCACCACGTGACTGGATACTTAGGGACAACTCAGGAGTAGATCAGCGAAGCCAAGGGTAGGGGGACGAACGTCTTCTATTCCACACAACAGAGGGTCAGAACACTAACAGGAGACATAGGCCCGGCCTTGGGAGACGAACGTTCCCCCTCCCCTGGCGGGAAACCAAGATCTTGGTGGGAAGCGCATTTAATGCGGAAGATTTGGTGGTTGGTATCATGTCGCCCACAGCCAGCCACGTCAACACATCCAACTACCCCTTGGCAATATAAATAGTAGCATTTATTTCACTGAAGGGGGTTCGCAATTTAGTATTCTAGCATTATAGCATTAACAGCAGTTCGTAGCATAGCACAGTACGTTCGGCCCGTCGGCTTGTAACAGTTTGAGCGAGTGAATACAATTGTTTGGTCCATTTCTTGCTCGTTTCTCCATCTTAATTGCCCATTACCCATTCGAAACATCCAGGTTACGTGTTGGTCCTATTGTTTTATCTTTGTCATGAGTTGTCTTTTTGTACTCATTCTAATTTATATAGACCAAGTCAACTCTCTACATCATATTATTGGTCTCTAATATATGTAGGATAATCCCAAATAATTCATATGATGTATAATTATAGAAGAAAATCCTATTCCCATTACTTAGCTCAATAATGCCTAAGGTGGGATCATAGGAGTTTGTATTCTTCTCTAACCAACACATTCACTTATTTGTGACCATAGAATATATATTCCTGGGCTACAAGCCGTGTGGACCATCCTTGAGTAGGCCTAGGACGCCATTCTTGAATACCTACTATTTTTAGCAGGTTAGACCCAAAATAATACTTGAGCTGCCCGACCTTCCTTATTTTGTGTTGAAGGGTTATGTATCCTTATTTACATAGTGTTGGGCTCTTATATCCAATAAGATAGCCCAATTAAGTATTTGAAAGTCCAACACTATTATACGATCCCAAACGGTAGTATGATCAATCATGCTTTACATAAAAACATTAATCGTTTTACAATTGCTCGATAATAGGAAATTCAATGCATGAACTGTGAATTAAAACTGAATTTCAAAAATGCCCGGGTGCGGTGTCACATAATACCTGAAGATATGCTAGTTTTATATAAAATTGCATTAGTTATATGTAACTGCAATGATCAGGTGGGCATATTAAACTGAATTTTCTGAAATATACTACACACTGGCCTTTAATAAACTAAACAGAAGCAATAGTGTGTGTGAAGTGTGAAGAAAGGATTTCCAATTCCCTAAATTTCTTATTTCTATTACAAAAATGGCATGTGCAGTTGTGTCTTTATTATCAATAATGTTTATTACTGAGAATAGCACATGTAGACGGAGAACAAGAGCCTTAAAAACAAAAACTTACCTTCTGAGAATACCACCTTCCTCAATACTATCATAATTATCAAAGAGAGCAGACCTGGCAGTTCGATGATCCTTGCTTATAGATAAATCCCAACATATAAATAATATTAACAAGTGTTACTTGTTAGAAATAGGTCAAATTACTACATTAAAACACACAAAAGACAGAAAGTTGATTGCTGGATAACAGACACTTTAATATTAGATGAAAAGGTGTTTAAAATCATAACCGACCCTCATTACCTGTAATTGCATGTGAGCACATTTGACAAACTTGTTTCTTCAAAAAGGAGAATCCTCAAGCTATTGGATTCTCTGTTGATCCTATAAATCCATTTTATTTTCACTGAAACTACTCTATCATGTCATTGGTATTTAACTGAACTATTAGTAACCATTTCGAATAGTTCGGGCAATACACACTAATACACGGTGTTGGACCGCGGGTATGCGGTGCCAGCAACAGCCAGCCTACCGGTGCAATCGGACCGCGTGGCGCTTCGCTTGTGCTATAAAGGGGGAGGAGCGTGCTTCACTATCAGTGATTGCTTTTAGTGTAGCGGTAAGCGCAACGATCCACAAGTGGTATCAGAGCCAAGGTCACGGGTTCGACCCCCGACAACAGCATGTTGTGCAGTTGTAGGCTGGCAGGTGCTGGGGGGAGATTGTTGGGCCGCGGGTATGCGGTGCCAGCAACAGCCAGCCTGCCGGTGCAATCGGACCGCGTGGCGCTTCGCTTGTGCTATAAAGGGGGAGGAGCGTGCTTCACTATCAGCGATTGCTTTTAGTGTAGCGGTAAGCGCAACGATCCACACACGGTTACCACGAATTCACGTAGCAAACAACCATAATTATAATGGTGACACATATTGATCGACCTTCTCAATCTTCACAGTGGAAGCTGGGACTTGGATTTCGGCATTATAGCTAAATAAAATGTTCCGCATGAGGTATATTCTATATTCTAGACAAAGTTACATCATCTGTCTGTAATTAAGAAGAGCCAGAGGCATACCATGAGACGATTGTATTCGCCAATAGCAAAATTAGTACATACACTCCTGGATAACCTCCATCTCCTCTGGGTCATCAAGATCGCATGGCATTTTGTGGTTTCAATTATGCAAGGAAACGTGTGCTGAACAAAATGCATAAAGAAAACATATGTCACATATCACGGTTTCACAGAAAAATGTGAAACAAGAAAAGTTATTAATGAAGAAGAGGGCTCATTAAATCTGTAATGGACTAGATAGACGACGGTGGCGATTGAGTACTGGCGACGAACATACTTTTGAAATCGATAGATGATGGGAGGAGAACTGCTTTGTAGCAAATGAAAACTCAGGCTCGAAAAGAAAGGAAATTGAAAGAAGAGAAGAAAAATAGATGATGAAATCTTAACTAAGAACATCATGAGAGGCGATGATTACTTGGGAGACGTGATACTGGGTGCGTCGATGGACGTTGGGTGGCTTTAGCGGAAGAATTTTTGAGATCCCTACATTCTGAAATGGAAGAACGCATATAAGAGATCGGTGTATACTGAGGAGCGTGTAGTAATGAGAGGCCCAAAGGAGGCCAAGTCATCGTCAAACGAAGGCAATATACGGATGACCCAGTTTCGTTGCTGCATCGACGAGCTTCTCTCTGCCGATAGGAAGGTTTTTAGACGCTAACCTTGTACCTATATCGTCTTAGCGTGAAGGAAGAAGATTACTCGTATTATTTTCACATGAGATAGAACGAATTTAGCAGTAGCAGAGGAGTGTGCAGATGGAGACTGGGGAGGATTCGTGCGAGATCGAGAAGGAGAAGGGTTAATAAGCCCGCAGAGAAAGAAGATGAATAAAAAAATATTCCAATTCGGCAAAATGAACCAAGATATATTTTTAGGGCGGTTTTCATAACGGACGTCATAGTCAAAAATTAAAAAACGCAAATCCTTATCAAGGCGGTTGTTTAGCAACCCGTCGTTAAATGAAATAAATAAAAATATTAAAAAATATACAACGTCAGTTTTCACAAAACCGACGTCAAATAATTTTATAACGACGGTTTTTCAAGAACCGACGTTAAATGGGTGACGTGGTATGTCATTCTTGTAGTAGTGTAGTTAAGGTACGTATCTAAAATTCATGCATTTTCCTGTTGTTTAACAATATCTAACTAAACTTACATGTATTTCTTTTTGTATATATAAATTGATAAAAATATTTTAGTGTAACAAAATTAATCATCTATCTAACCAAGCATTCCAGCCCAGCTGGTAGTGAGGTTACCGTGCTTAGTGAGAGGTCTCGTGTTCAAAACCCGCTAGGCACATAAGAGTGTAAAATTCAATGGAATGAGTTTCAGTCCTGATTACTCTAGGCCCCCCAGGCCCCCTCCCCAGACGCCCCTGGAGTAAAAAGAAAAAATTAATCATCTGTCTCCATTCAAAATCCCAGGTGCCTTGGTGGTGTGGCTCCTTTGGTTGCCAATCCATTCCAAGTCTCCCCGGCCAGGCTGATCTCAAGTCATTCAAATCATACCAAGGATCGAGGTTGGGGAGATTTTTCTTTCCATGAGTCTCGTTATCTTCACGGCATAACTCAACCGCTGAAGAAGAGAATGATAATGGAGGATAGCAAGTTCATTTACCACCTCCGTCCCCTTAATATTAAGACAGAAAGGAGTGAAGTTGTTTTTAAAATGGTAGATTATATAGTGTCCATAAAGTACCATACCTTTGTCCAACAGACCTATCAGAATGTTGCAATTGAATTATTTAAATCTAAATTAAAAATGATATAATGATATGAACCAATTAAGTGAATGGTAGGTACAGTACTCCATTTTTCAAATAGGTACCAGAGTTGTCACCTTTTAAAAAAGTAGAATTATGTGGTTGATAATGAGTTGATAAAATGAGAATAAAGTAAGAATCAATTTGAGCCACAGAAATATTACCATATATGGTATATGACAATTTTAGTGAGACGGACGGAAAAGAAAAAATGGAAAAATTATAGTGGAAGGGATGGAGTAATAAGAACAACCACTTGATAAAAGATGACACGAACAAATGTAATTGTGATTAGATTTATATAACCTACACGGGTAGCTCAACTGATAAAGCGGTGGGAAAGTTGGAGAATAACCAAAGATCGACACTCGCAGCGGCCGTGCAAAGGTCAAAGCTCTTTTGTGATGGGCGTTGGGTCTATGGTGCGCACGAGTATAATTAAGATCTATCATCATTAGGATTGATTGAGTCACCATAATTTACATGCTTCCATATGTTCCGTCGAGTCGGGATGTGTCAAACCATTTTAGAGTGATTAGATTTATAGGAAGTATATACAAGTACTAAATAAAAAGAACTTAACAATTATAGAGGCAACACCTTTATTACTTCGTATAAAAGAAGTGAATGAGAATGGGTATCCTCCATATCTATACCATTCCGTACACAAGTAAATAAATATTGGCATATTGCATGTGTCAACTCAATGATTTCCTCCCCAAACCGCTGTTCCTTTAACCCTCCCTTCTTCCTTAGTTTCCTTAATATTATTCTTCCTTTCGGTCATTACCATCATTTTTTTTAAAGTTGGTCTTCGCCATGTCCACACACAGAGGCAAAGACTTGGTAGAGCTGAGGTCTCCGAGCGGCGTCGGGGAAAACGGGCCGCCGACTCCCAGCCGTTATGAGTCACAGAAACGCCGAGACTGGAACACCTTCGGGCAGTACCTGAGGAACCAACGGCCGCCGGTGGCGCTGTCCCAGTGCAACAGCAACCACGTCCTCGACTTCCTCCGGTACCTCGACCAGTTCGGGAAGACTAAGGTACACTTACAAGGTTGCATCTTCTACGGGCAGCCGGAGCCGCCGGCTCCTTGCTCCTGCCCTCTCAAGCAGGCTTGGGGTAGCCTTGACGCCCTCATCGGACGGCTCCGAGCCGCCTATGAAGAGAACGGCGGCTCCCCGGAGACGAACCCTTTCGCCAGCGTCGCCATCCGCTCGTACCTCAAGGAAGTTAAAGAATGCCAGTCAAAGGCGCGTGGCGTTCCGTACAAGAAGAAGAAGAAGAAGGCCACTGCAAGCTCCGGCGTGGCGGCGACGACCACCGCTGACTATGACTCATCTTCTTCCGCGCCATTTTCTTGATATAAAAGACGATGAAAGAGAAACGTTTTTCACACCCTCGCAGGAATTCAAGGTATTGTCGGTGCGTAATTTAAATTGATTTCTAACAGTATATATAATCTCCCAATTCAAGGTATATATAAACTATTGTCGGTAGTTTAGTGTACTTTTGGTATGTACCTTGATTAGTCTCACACTATTTTTTTTTGAGATTGACACAGATTATCCAATAATTTCATGCAAAATAAGTCGTTTCAAAATGTTTTTGGCACATATTTGACATATCCCTGGAGGTTTCTCTATGAATTTTGGCAAATCTAGATCAAAAGTATCTGTTTATCCAGTTTTTTATAGTGTCACTAAACATAAAAGTACTAATTCTGAATTTAAGCACCAAGATCGCAATTTTGCGATTTTTTATTGGTTCTTGAATGGTCATAAATCCCAAATCTTGAACTGAAGTGGATTTCAGGAAAACACAAATCTTGAATAAAACAAATGAAGTTGGTGGGGAGAATACATGCATCTAAGATATGGTTTGAAATACCCGTACGGGTCGCTTAGTTCGACGAGTGGTGGGAGATTTGGAACAATAGACCAAGGTTCGAATCCCCGCAGCGACCGGGTGGAGGTCACAGAACCTGAAATAAGATTGGGCCTCTGGTGCGCACGGGTGTATGAACCTACTGCCATTCTGCTGACTGAGTCATCGTGACTAACCTCCCAACCATCCTGTCGGGTCGGGGTGGGGGCTCCTGCGGTAGGAGATTCCACCTTTTTTTGGAACGATAAAAGATATGGTTTGAGATCTTCTAACGGACAGAATTGGGCGACATGTACAAGTACATGACAATATATTTGAGACATCATTTGATTTGATTTGATCTTGAGGTGAAAACCCTAGTGTTTTGATACTTCTATCGTTAGGTGACATTTAAGTGCAAAAGTTCTTAAAATTTAGGTAGGAAAGGGTTTGCATCCAAAATATGATGATCACTACGTACTTTCCCTTACATTAGTGGTGAGATTAAATCATATACGGAGTACGTAGTAGGATATTACTACGTACTAAGCTAGAATATGCCCCAAAATGTTTGTGTATACATTAGAGAGAATTTTCAAACTGTTTTAGTTATATTTCGGGTAGTATTTTCATTAGAGAAAATTCCCTAAATAGGAGTAAAAAGTTTTGAAATTTCAAAATAGGACTATCATGTTTTTTATTCTTTGAATAAAAGTAAAATTTTGCCAAGTTTGGCATTACTAGGCTTTAAAACATAACATTTTTTTCCAAACTTGGCAAATTACTGTTATTCGGGGAATAAAAAACATGATACTCCTATTTTGGAATTTCAAAGTGTTTTACTCCTATTTAGGTCAATTTCTGTATACATTATTAACGGGAAAGTTCCCGAAATAAGACTAAAACAGTTTGAAAATTCCAAAATGGGACTTTAATGTTTTTTATTCTGAAAATAGGACTAATTACTGCCATGTTTAGAAAATACTGTCATGTTTGAAGTCTGGTACTGCCACAACATGACAGTAATTAGTCATATTTTGAGAATAAAATCATGACAGTCCTGTTTTGAAATTTTCAAACTGTTTTAGTCATATTTCGGGTAATATTCTCATTATTAACAGATCTTATTGAATTGGCTCTAGTGAGATATTCATAACAACATCAGATCGAACGTGAGGGGCGAAGGAATTCGGTATATCTTGATAGGTTTGAGAGTCAAGAGACTATTAAATATTAATCAATTTTTTATCATAACGTTTTCATAGATTGTAAAGATAGGGCTAGAAGGACCCTAGACTCCTTCATAAAAAAATCATATGCATATATAAATGTATAAGTATTTATAATCTCTTAAAATATAAAAGTACTTATGTACTCCGTATATATTTCATATAAAACTTTCAAGCCCTCCGCCACTGGTTTTCATCATCCTTGCATAACATTCATGCCTACTTTTATATCCTTCCCAAAATCGGGTTTTGATTAATTCTAGTACTTTTATGCTTAGATTAACCGATTTGAATCTCTTATTCAAAATTTCATCAAGATATCTGAATTTATATTTTACGGCACATCAGAACTTTTTGTACAACTTCCAAATTTGTAAAATATACGGAGTAATTACTAAGCTAATACTTCACTTCGTACTAAAAATAATATTATCTGTGCCCGCAATCAAACATCACAAACAAAATGGAAACTTTATATCGGGAGAAAGTGAGTCGTGGTTTCTTATAATATGAATGTAAATTACAACATTTCCTACGCATTGTTAAAGAAAAATTTACATACAAGTAACAAATAAAAGATAAATGGACTTGCTATGCCTAAGCTCTACTAAGTTCTATCTAATACTACCTTCATCCCTTAAAACTTTGCCAAAGTTGACCGGCACGAAGAATAACAAAGTAAAAACTGTGTGGTTGAGGTTTGTGCAGAGGAGAGAGAAATAACAGAAACCATAAAATAATTGATTAAAAGGGAAAGTGACAAAGTTTTTTGGGACGTCCCAAAAAGGAAAGATTGCAAAGTTTTAAGGGAAGGAGAGAGTAGCTAAGAATAATCAAATCCTACTAACAATTAGTCATACTTGCATTATTTGCAGTGTAAAAGGATGATAAAAAGAAGTGTAAAAGGATGATCGAACTAGAACAAAGTAAAGTTTACAATTAGTAAGAATGGAGAAAGTGACTAGATGGGGTGTCATCCTTTTTTGGAGAAAGTGACATAATATTCTTTTGGGATTTTGGAGATTTTGGTGCCCCACACATCATCTGAAGTCGCAGACACTAGCTTTTCCATGTCCGTTTATTGCAGAATATCGAATCTTACAACAAGAGTAACGTTTTGTTAAGGTTACTATTTATATAACCAATCATGAAAAACTTGCCAATAATAATAAGACAACTTGCAAATACGGAGTAATACTCATCCAGACAAAATTTGCCATCCATGGTTATTTAATTATTCCAAAAAACTTAATTATTTACATTTAAAGTGAAAAATGACTGATTAAAGTAATAACTTGCAACCAATGGTTCTATATTACCAAAATAAAAATTTATTTACAAAAAGTGACCAAATCAAAAATTATTACGCCGTATAATAAAGTGTCATTGTCACTAAAGTGTAAAAGATGAACATGACTTATTACGACTAAAGTTACTACGCATTATAATCACTAGACTTAGAAGATTATATTTTTACAAACAACATTGATTTTAGGAAAAAATGAGCAAATAAGTCCTCAAACTATTAATGATTTTGTAAACATACCCTTGAACTAGAATAAGCTTACGACATTTCAGAGCTCGTTTGGTAATATCCAAATCAGCTTTATTAGTTGATTTTGCTGAAACTTGTTAATATCCAAATAAGCTATATTAGTTTATTCTACTTAAATTTATGAAATTCTGATTGAAGTGGCTGGATTGGTTGATTCTGTTGATTCATGAAAAAATTATATTTAAAATATATTTTATTCATAAAATAAAGAAAAACTATTAAAAAAAACAACTTAAATGATCTTCACAGTAACTTCAGGCAATAAAGGCAGAGAAGTAACTTCAAACATACCTTTTCTTATTACGGAGTAATACACAATCTAGCGCGCGAAATCCAAAGTTACGTGTTTTGTGAATAAATTGACTGAGAGACCTAATAAGCCGAAAAACAGAGTCACCAAACGGACTCTCAGATTAATCCTTCAATTCATTTATGTAAATTTAACCATCTCCTTGTTCAAAATTTATTAAAATAATGAGAGGGTAAAAATATTACAGTAAAACATTTGATTGTATGATAACTTTACATTTGTCAGGCGTTATTTTAGTTGTATAGCCAAATGAGTCTCGATAATAGTTTATTCAAGTGTCATTTTAATTTTAACAATTTCTATCCAAGTCTAGATAATAGTTTAATTTCCAAATTAAACAACAATCTTTAGTTTAATTAAGTTAGTTCTAAGAATGAGGCTTTTCTTAGAAACTAAAAATAAGTTCTAAACAAGATCTCAAAAATTTTAAAGAAACTCATAAAAAGTGTTTTGTCAAACATACACTAAAGAGCTTTTAAAGAACTCTTAAATTGTAAAAATGTACAATTTAAAAAACTACCCATATACTATCCGTACTTAGCTTGAAAAATCAAAGAAAAATTTATGTGATTTCTGTTGTAAAGAAAAAAAGAGATTTGCAATATTGATCCCATAAGTTTTACTTATTTCTATAATTAGTCTTATAACTTTAGTCACTTTCAAATTCGGTCATGCAACTAATTAATCTTTACAATTTAAAAACATTCTCATAGGAAAGTACACTTTTCGGTAGAAAACCCGACGTCAGAGGCATTTTTTTCGAGCAAAGTGACAGGACTAATAATTTAACAACTGAAAGTCACATGACTAAAATTGTAAATCTCCCAAACGAAAAATTCTAGAAATTAAACTAAGGATAACTCATTTTTTCGAGCAAAAGCTATCAATATTTTTGCATAAACTAAGTCCGTCTTCATTCACACTCTTTACATAAATTATTTTTCTCTTAAAAATCATTGTCACATATATTCTCCCAAAATTATTTAAATAATGGTAAACCTCATTAATCTTTATATATACAAATAATTAGTTTTATAGGACATTCGTTAATTGTATTGCAACTACAATTTAAAATAACTCATGTTTAAATTTTTACACCTAATTTCCTTTTTTCAGTAAACCTTCTAAATAATCTCTCTCACCATGATTATTTTTAAAACAACCTGATACTTCATCCAATTAATATTCAATTAAATTAACAACATGACGATAACATTTTAAGCACTAATTAGTCATAATTTAGCATAAATTAAGACACTTTTTGAAGTTTCATTTAAAGAAAAAAAGGAGCTCACAATATTTTTTCATCACATTAAGGATCTGAATAATATGTATATACTCCGTATAAGTTACTCAGCTTTTTCGGAGCATATTTCTATTTTTTTGATAAGGACATTAACTATTTTCTACGGAGTATATGATTACTACTATTTTTTAATATATTTATATATACATGCACTCACAAGTCACAAGTAGTTTTTCAAATAATACAGAGTATTATACAATAGCAATAGCACTGCCGATGGTATTTCTTATAATCGTTGTTATTTTTTTTTCTTTTTTTTTTCATATAATCGTTGTTATTAAACTATCATAATTATTTTCATTCTATTTCATTTTGAATAATTATTAAATAATTAATGAATGGCTAAATTTGGAGGGTATATTAGACATTAAAAGTATCATATAAAAACG